TCCATTCACTCCCACGGCATTGAAATTCCATAATGGGGCTGAAATAAAGCGGCAGCATCTCATCCCCGCGGGAGCCCTTGATCATCTGTTCCAGAGGCACCCTGGGGAAACGTCTGGAAAAGAACCTGGAATTGGGCAATTCAGGTTTTTCTTGCAAGTGCCTTCTCTATAATGAAGCTAGTTCCCGCTGACATGTTCCCAGGGGAATGCAGCAGCTCTGTTTGCAGGATGCTAAACAGAGTGCTCAGGTGTGATGGGGCAGCAGGTGCCGCGAGGGCCTGTGTGGCTGCAGGGCCAGGGATGGGAGCACAGCGGGCACTGCTCCGGGTGTCCCGAGCAGGAGCTGGCAGGGCTGTCCCTCCAGGCAGCCTCAGGGGTGGCTCTCAGCCCTGGGGGTTTATGCTGTTCAATATTTTTAAGCCAATTCTATTAAACACCAGGAGGCAACAAGATAAATAGGGCAATGAAAATGCTTTCTGTGAGATTTAGGTGATGGCAGTTGTGTGTTGGTTAAATAGCAGATTATGACTGTAAATACAGGCACAGAGGGTAATGGAATGCACATCGGGAATGCTGTACACCCCCGGGAGAAGCAGGCTCAGGAACCCCAGAGAGGCTGAGCCTGCAGGGTCGGTGCTGGCAGAGCCTTGTGGCTCCGCGGGGCTGTCGCTCCGCTCGCGTCCTGCTCTGCCTCGCGGGGAGCACGATGTGTCAGGTATCACATCACACCGCCTCGAAATGCCAAGTGGCATAATGAATCAAACTCCCAAAATAAAACTTTCTGCTAGAAATAAACTTGTCACTGTCAATTTAAACTCTTGCTAAAGAAGCCTGATCTGATGCAAGTTCCTTTTGCCAGGGATTTACAGAAGTGTGTGGGTTTAATCATTATTTATAACAGCAAGTCTAAAGGGAGAATGGAAAGTGTCTCTATCCAAATGTGCAACAGGAAACCCAGATCCTAAATGTAGCCCTGATACAGGAGAGCTGGGGGAGAGAGCACAAAGCACAACCCACTCTGAGCACAGAAGGAGAAGGAGCTTTTCCTCCATTTCCACTTCCCCAGCTCTGGGCAGTGTGCTGCCCGCCCTGCCAGAGCACGAAGGGTTTTAAGGGGTTATTTAGGGACAAAACCTTACAAAACTGTGCAGGGAGGAAAGGGATCCTGCCTGGTCACAGACCGCAGGACAGGCCGCAGTCTGCTGCCCTCGGAGGGGCATTTGGCTGGGAAAAGCCCTGGCGTGCTATGCTGATCCCAGCAGCTCCCTTACTCCATCCCTGGCGTTTGAGGCTGTTGTCCTGCAGAGAGGAGCCCTGGCACGGCCCAGCGAGGCACAGGCAGTGCCACCGGCCCTGCCAGGGATCCCCATGTGGGCACACGCCGGCACCAGCTCAGGGCTCGTGGGACCCTCCAGGCCAAGCCTGGAGGTGCCTGGAGCTCTGGTACTGACTGAGGGACGTTTCAAACAGACCATTTATTCCCATCAGGCTGTGCCTCTGTCCCACTGCCCCGGCGCAGCCAAGGGCTGTCCTCAGGAATGCTCCAGTCACTCTGCCTCTATTAGATTAGACACCTCTCCTCCCGAGGATGTTGTCGTGTTTTCAAATGGCTTCAATCAGCACCTCCCAGGCCCCGGGTATTTTGGGATACAATACAGCTGAAACTCATCCAGGCTGATGAGTAATGGAGGTGCATCTCCCACCCCCATCCAGCCTGGCTGACAGCCCCTGGATGCTGCAGAACACAATTAAGCCTCTTGTCTTGCAAGCATCGTCCGCAGTTACACATAGCTCGGGAGGAAGAGCTCAGCAACAACAACTGGGTTTCTAATGATCTTGTCATCGAGAGCAGCATAGAGAGATAAATGAAAGAGTGAGGAACAGCCAAGATCAAAACTCGGACTTGCAGCTCTCCATGGCACGGCAGGAGGCAGACTGGCCACGCTCATCGCCCTGGACCCATGTAGGGACCCGTGCCCTCTTAATCACAGCGTGAAATGTGCAGGGACAGAGCCCGAGCCCACCCAGCACCGGGGGCTCCTCTCCTGGGCAGCTCCAGGCATGGCTGCACATAAACCTCCTTCTGCAGAAACTGCTTCCCCTCGGGATCCCCAGGACCCTCACCAGATCGTGTCCCCACTGCCCAGCTGCGAAGTGGCCGCAGGCTCAGCAAGGGAATGGAGGTGGGAAGGGACCGGCTGGACCCTGGGCTGGGGGCAGAGATCTGTCTGAGGGCTGATGGCTCCAGGATGGTCCCTGTGCTGCAGGATGGGCTCACTGCACCCAGACAAGGGCTCTCCTTCCCTGGCAGAGGAATTGCCTCAGTCCTGTCTTCTTATCACAAGGCTCCACAATAGCCGCATCGATCCCTTTCACCCCACAGGCAGTATTTTGACTTCTGGAATTCATCTTACCTAGCAAGGGATTCTAAATATATCCCAGACAATTTCCTCTCCTCGTTTTTAATAATCTCTTTCATCCTTAAATTAGTTTTTGAAAATATGTATTGGGATGATAGGCTTTTTATCAGAGCTGATGGAGAATATTCATCACACCTGTGTCGTACTCCTCACAGCACAGGCACAGCCCTAGGAGCATCAGCGTTGCAGCACTCGTACGTGCTCCGCTCAGCAGTGGTTGGCACGCAGGTCCCTGGGGGAGCTCCAGTCCCACCCCACAGGGACAGCAGCGCTCGGCCCTGCTGCTCTGGGCAGGGGGTTCTTTGTTGGGCAGGTTCCCGTGGACCTGCATTTCCACCACCTTTGTGAGCAGCAGTGGGGGAACAGGGAGGCAGCAGGAGTGTCTGGGCAGGG